AACACAGTATACATAAACAACTATGGGTTATCAGTAACCCTAAGGACTATCAGCAGTCCTGATGAACTAACAGCACGCCCGACAGGTTATCAGCAACCATGGTTGGCTATCAGTAGCCCCAACCACATATAAATAGAAAAACATAATCATAATAGCTAGACCCAGGTGGTCATCATAAATATAACTATCCTACCATATAGGTAAGAGTCAGTGAGGAGACTCACCTGATACTGATGACACTAAAAATCTAGCACTCAAACTGCCTGATCTAGACTCCACCTAGTCAACAAAATGATTAACCCTAATCAATAATTAATCCCCAAAAACTCATTCGCGATTCCAAATCCCACGGCTAAACCTTCTAAGGGCAAAAGGACTATTTTGCCCTTCTCATGGTCCTAAAACCCTAAATCTTAACAAAGGGTCAAAGTCAACAAAAGTCAACAATCAGCGAGTATGCTGATCGTACCACAACCTATGCGAGTTGTACAACTCGAATCAACAAAATAACGAAGCTAGTACTGGCTGCGCGAGACGTAGCCAGGAGTACGCCCAACGTACTCCGTCTGTACCCATTTCTACCAACTTATGTCTTAGACCCTTAAGACAATTACTCCCAAACATAGATCTAACCATTCTAAGATGTCTAAAACCATAAAGTTATCAAATTTAAGCCTTTGCATGGCTAGAAAAGTCCCAAAGCAACATTCATAAACTCTCAAAACATTATAGTCATGCATAAACCAAAAGAAGTGATCACGCTACCATTTTTATGAATGTACAATCCCATAATACATTAAAGGACAACTACAAACCCCTGGAGTACCCCAAACTCATAGAAGGTCCAATCTTTAGGGATACAAATCTTAAAACTTCAAACATGGAGATCTAATGAAAGACTTGACAAGGTACAAACTTTATACCTGAAAATGGTGCACAATGAGGGAAGTTTCCTGGATCTATAAGCTTGCTAACACCCACTTCTTCTTCTCTAGCTTCCTTCTTCAACTAAATGCACCAAAAACACCCAAATGAACTTGCAAGGATCACTCAAACTCAGGATTAGGTTTTAGGGAATGTTTGGAGCCTGATAAGGTGACCAAAAGAGGACTTAATGCTCTTTATATAGGGGCAACCCTTGAAATTAGGGTTTGGACTCTATGATAGTACACCAAGCATACTACACGTATGCCCAACGTACTAGCTGGCCATCCGCGATCATGTACGCTATATGAGTACAATGCGCGTACTCTTGCGTATGCCCTGCGTACGACCACTTCCGTGATACTCTTACTTCAAGTGACCAAATGTGCCACTATTGATAAAGATTCAAGAGACAAAATATAATACCTGGTTTTCGGGATGTTACAATTCTCCCCCACTAGAATTAGACTTCATCCTCAATGTCATCCTCCGGAAACAGCTCAGGATATTGCTCAAGCATCTCAGACTCAGGTTCCCACGTCCACTTCAAACCTCTTCGGTGCTGACACTGAATTTTGACCAAGTTCACGACCTTGTTCCTCAAGGTTTTCACTTTCTGATCCAAAATCGCCATAGGTTTCTCCACACAATTCTAGTGATCATCGACCTAAATTTCCTCCAAAGGAACCACAGTTTTCTTGTCAGCTAATCACTTCCTTAGCTGGGAAACATGGAAGGTATCATGAATTTGTCCCGCCTCCTCCGATAACTCCAACCGGTAGGACACCTTGCCCAACCGGGCCAATGAACCTGGGGCCCCTGCTTTCCCCGCTTCCTGAAGCGAATAACACCCTTCAGAAGCATTAAATCTCCCACCTAAAACTCCATCTCAAAGTGTCGCCGATCCGCATAACTCTTCTAGCGGTTCTGCACTGTCAACGATCTCTGTCAAACCTGTTGTATAAGCTCAGTCATCTTGAGCACTACCTCCGTGCTCCCCATGACCCTCTTTCCTACCTCGCCCCAACAAATAGGAGTCTGACATCTCCGCTCATAAAGGAGCTCGAATGGGGGCATACCGATACTGGCATGATGGTTGTTGTTATAAGAAAAATCAGCCAACAGAAGATGGGAATCCCAACTCCTACCAAAATCAATAACACAGTGCCACATCTCTTTTGATACATGTCCACCAATAATTATGCTTTAAGTCAAGATACATCTTGGTAGTCCCCAGGTGGATGGAAAATCTCAATTTATGGGCCTCCTCCATAAAAATTTGTCAAGCCCCACCCGCGTACGGTAGAACCCTAGACGGTAAAGTCACAACAATCATAACTTTCTAAACTACATTACAACGTCTGATGAAGTTTTGTGTGGGGAAAATATCTAGTCAAAATCTAGATTATAGGAACTCATTGTAACAAATGATCGGCCAACCTTAATAAAATAAATTGGGAATGCCTTGAGGTAGTAATAGTATGTATCAACAAAGTAAAACGGGTGAAAAGCCTTAAGATAAACGAAATATAATGATTTATCTTAAAAGAAATAAGTTATAAAATTACAAGAAGAGATATTAATAAACAAGTACATGAATAATGATAGGTACTTTTCTAAGTATCCTATCAAATATCTACTCAAAACTAATCGAGTGTATAAATATGAATATTCCTGAAAGAATGAGGTGAAATAAAAAGAGAATACTAAAGGAAAGATGAAAAAATACGAATCAACGATAATGAAAGAAAACACTCCCTAAAATCTTAGAGTATAAGAGGATTTATGAAAGCCTATATATTCAAAAACAAAGATCCTATATTGAAAACCTTTATGAATAGTATTTTCAATTAACTATAAAACCTGTGAACTCACCAACATTAAGTTGAGCGTTTTTAAACCACATGTATTCCTAGAGAGTTGAAGAAGAGAAGATCACTCCAATGGAGTACACTACGCAAGGAAATAGATAGTTTATGACATGTAAAACTTTCGATGTAATCAATTGTCTTAAATAAATAAATATTATGTATTGTTGGCTTTATGTCATGTGGTTATGATATTCAACTAATTTTGCACGGTTCGACGTTTCTACCGCTAGCCGAGAATGCGACACATCGTTATGTTCAATTTCAAGTCCAAATTATAGTTTTGGTCCTTGTGGTTTGGTCAGATTTGCAATTTCAATTCAACTTTGAACATTTGACAAGATACACCCATGCATGTGGTTTAAATGTGGTTTAAAGAAGTGGACAATGTAACTATGGTTATGTTCATTTCAAATCCAAATTACAGTTTTGGTCCTATGGTTTGGTCAGATTTGCACTTTCAGTTCAACTTTGAAAATTTTACAAGATATATCTCTGTGGTTTAAAGAAATTACACTACACATTCTTAGTCTATTTAAAAAGATCATTTTATCCTTACTGTTATATTTTTGTTTTATTTTTTTGCTTACATTTTATTTTGTTTATTTATATTTTTTTATTATTTATATTTTATTTGACATTTTTTTTATTATATTGTTTAATGTTTTTTTCATGTAGTTCTTTTATATTATATTGAATAATTTTTTCTAGTTTTTTGATATGTTGTTTGAATATATATATATATATATATATATATATATATATATATATATATATATATATATATATATATATTATTTTTTTTGACGTTTTGTTCGTTTATATTTTTTAAAATATTCTATGTAAAAAATATTAAAAAAAAAAGTTTGTTAAATGTGAATATTATTAACATATATTAGTTATAATTTTTTTTAATAGGATTAATAAACAAGCTAACCGAAATTCAAAAACAAGTTTCAAATTATATAATGACTAATTGAAAACCATATAACTCGAAAACAAATAAATTTTCTAAAAAAAAAAGTGAGGGTAAAATGGTTTTTTTATATGACTAATTAGAAACATATCTGTTAATAGTATTAATAGATAGGTTAACCGAAATTCGAAAACGAGTTTCAAGTTATATAATGACTAAATGGAGACAATATAATTCGAAAACGAATATATTTCAAAAAAAAAATGAGTGTAAAATAATCTTTTTAAATGAATTAAGGATGTGCACTGCAATTTTTTTTTAACCGTAGAGATGCATCTTATCAAAATTTCAAAAGTTAAACTGAAAGTATGAATCTGACTAAACCATATGAACCAGAACTATAATTTACTCTAAATTTTATTAAAATCAAGAATATGTTTCGCCAAGGTCGTAAACTTTACTTCTTACTAGACATTTGAAATATAAAAAATATCATGGTCAAAAGTATGTAACTTTTTCTTCACAAAATATTATTGTTCAAAAACATTATTAAGAGTTAAAGAGGTAGAAATTTATATTCACAAAATACTAACTTCATAATTTTTAATTGTATTTTTATGGACAAAATGAACAGGTTGTTAGTTAATCATTTTATTTTTTAAACTATTATTTTTTTAAAAAGACAAACAAAAAAATTGTTAATTATTTATAATATTAAACTTTTATAAATTAAAAATAATGATTTGGAAACTATTTTTCATGAACTCAATTTATGTTAAGAAATCAACCATATAAAATTAAATACATATATCTAAAGAATATGTAAATGTAAAACTTGGTAAACAAAATTTAAATTTGTTTGAATGAGATCCATATTTTGAGTTAACAAGAAGCCATGAATGCAGGAATAGAAAACTACAAACATGAATGCATGAATAGAAAACTACAAAGAAAAATTCCAAAGCCACGTGATCCTATGATCTACACAAATCTTATCAAATACAGTCAGCACTCCGCAGAATAGAATTGAACAACAAACCAAAAAGCAAAAGCGAAAAGCTCCATTAGAAAAAGACGGTTTTCTCCTTGCCTTGTAGACAAAATTACAATCAAGGACAAGAATTGCAACCCTTTTATCTCTCCCCTCTTTCTAAACACTACCCATCACCAACAGAAAGTAAATTACCCTTTTGCCCTTCTCATGCTTATTCACCTCTCTCAAAACACATATACACATTTTAACGGACTCAAAAGACCCAAACTATCACACACTTGATGACAAGTTGTTTAACCTCTACATATACAAAAAAAAAAAAAAAAAAAATGAACTAGACAGAAATGCCCCTCTCTCATCAAAATTCACTTTGTGCTTATTGATCTTTTATGCAACAGCGGAAATGCCCCGGCAGTTGAATCCTTCGACCCTGACCGCAGGGCATTTTTGTCCAAATTTTCCTCTGGCACAACTTCCGCCATTTTTACGGGAAGATGGTGAGGCTTCGATGGCGGGTGATGGAAGGTTTGGGTTTTCGTTACCAAATTGAGCATCTTGGACCACCGGGTTTGCCGCCCGGCTAGGTGGAGACCCACAAAAGAATGGTGGTGATGATGATACCACATTGTTGGATTTTTCAGCACCATAACATTCCTATAAGAAACAAGAAATAAAATATGACGAGATGAGATTTTAAGTAAAAAGGTTTGACTTTCTTTTTAAGAAGGGGGAGTAATAACAACCAAAGTAAAGCTGGATCTTGGAGGTACTATAACATTAAACACCTCCACTGGTTTTCAATCAAGTAGTTAAACCTTATAGTACAATATGCAATCAAAGTTGTGATTTTTTTGGTTTTTGGTGAAATCGGATTATGACAGAATGACATTCCATGTTTCAATACAAACCCACCAACCATGGTAGCAAAGTATCCATGGAAATTAAAATGGGTACAGTCGAAAAGAATGGGATCTATGACCAGATCTTTGTCAATAAAATGATAAATTATAGGTAAACGATGAACAAAGTTGGTAAAATACTATACCCAAATTGAGGAATTCAAAGTGTTTGACCTTATAATATCAAAAGTTTAGTCCAATGAGTCTACAGTTATATAATAAATCCCCAATTAAGAATTAGCCAGCAGAATCCCTGAAAAAGTTGAACAGAAAGAAACAAAATTTTGGACTCAAACGTCACTTTCAAATTAAAGGAAAATTGGACACTCGACTTAAATCCCATAAATCGAAGTAAAAGTTTAGTAGGTGATTTCAAGGAATTTTGACTTTATGTAAGTGGCGAAATCATGATGTGACCAAAGTGAAAACAATTGGCTTGTAACTTTGATCTCAAATTACCGAGAATTCGGTTTGAAATTATATCACACAAATCACAGAAGTTCGTTTATACCTTCGTCAAAATCATATCTAGAAGCTCCATCCTTGATTTTGATTCATGCGTCTCCGTTTGATGACTGTTTTAAACATCAGACCCAAAACAGAATCAAAACATCTGGAGATAAATCGAATGAAAAATAAGAAAAGTAAAATAGAAATTGAAACAATACATGGAATAGTGGTTCTGCCATCGAGGAGATGAGGTAGAAATGGACTCTTTCATGGAAGGATTCAAGAGATACAATCGACGAGGTTTCGGGCAAACAACACCGTTCATCGTCTCTTCACTTCTCACCAAGGCGTTGTTGTTGATGTTGTTGTTGTTCTGCTGTTGATATGCACAGCGATTCATCATCTCGAAACTCTTTCAATTAGAAAAAAATCGAGATCTGTATGCAAAATCAACAACACCTGCACACAGAAAACATAAAACGCGATTCATATTAATGAATAAACATATATACATTAGATAAACATGTCGAATATGGAAATCAAATACGGTTCACAAAACGAATCCGAAAATCAAGAGAGAGAGAGAGAGAGAGAGAGAGAGAGAGAGAGAGAGAGAGAGAGCGGGGGAAATACCTTGGGTGAAGGGTATTCATAAACAGAGGACTAGAAAGAGATTTTGAAGGGGGTGAAGAGAGGAAGCTAGAAATGGGAGGTGGGTGACTATTCATTAGAATGGGATGAGAGAGATGATTGGGGACAGATTTTTAGAAAAAAATATATATATCTTTTCTTTCTGGGGAATTATTTACCTTTTAAATATATTTTGTTTTTAATTTAAGATATTTTTTGTTATATATATATATATATATATATATATATATATATATATATATATATATATATATATATATATATATATATATATATATATCAATCAAAGTTCAACTGAAAAAATAAAAAATAAAAACTTCAAAATTATGGAATCATTATCATCTAATAAATTATTTTTACCATATCAAGTCGACGAAGAATAAGTAATATTTATATATTAATATAAACATAAGTATATCCATATATGAATATATCATCAACTCTCCGCCTCCACCATCACCACCTCTGTAACATCCCGACGTGTGGTACCTTTAAATTAAACCCTTTGATTTATTTATGTTGCATTTTAGTCGCAAGTTCAAGATATGTATGCAAAAGGGCCTGAATGGCATTATTGTAATTTTAAGCCTTCAGAGTACGTCATGCGTACATGGTGTACGTTGAGCATACTATGGCGCGCTCTAGTATGTTGGGCGTATATCAGTGTATGTTGGGCGAACGTGCCAGATGAGAAACCCTAATTTTAGGGTTTGGTTGGTATTTAAGCACTCTTATGGCCTATTTTCTTACACCTTATCAACCTTCAACCTCTCATACGTGTTTGTAACCCTAATACCCTCTTGATGAGCCATTTCTAAGCTTGTATGTGTTTTGTTGCTTTTGAAGAAGTAAGGAAGAGAAGACCACCTTGGAGGAGTGAAGCTTTCTAGATATAGGATCACACCACCTTTTGGCACCATTTTGAGGTACAAGTTCTAAACATGGTGTAGTTTCTTTTAGATCTTCTTGTGTGTTAATTTTAGGTTCTTTTGTCCCAAATGTGGTGTTTCATGAACAAAGCATGTTCTTGACCCATTAAGTTGTCCTTTCAGACCCTTGGGAGAGTCTTGAGTCATAAAAATGGGTTTCAATGGTTGGTTTTTGTAACACCCTGAATCTTAAGGAACACTTATTCGGAATAAATCCCTTTTTGAGGATTGGATCCAACATGTTGGAGGAACCAACACGGTGTGTCTAGGTAAAAAAAATGCATAGTATTCATTAAGGTCAACACGACATATTGACAGCTGTGATGAAAACCCTAATCTTCTGGGTTTTTACTCCCTATTTAAAGGAATACGGAGGCTAGGGTTTGTCCTTCACAAGCCCCTCAAGCCCTGAAAGAAACCCTAATCATCTTCCTCCATTTTTAAAGCTAATTTTGTGCTTTTTTATCTAAGAAGGAAGAAGGAGGAGGAAGGAAGCAAAGATCATGCAAGCAAGTCCCCATTCTCCACTTTGGCACTCTTCTCGACCTTTGTAAGTGTTAAAGACTCGATTTTTATCACTAAAAGTTGTTAGATCTTCAATTGTGTTCCTTTAGCTTCTTATTCTTGAATGATGGAATGGTTAGACCTCATAAAGTTGGTAACCTTATGAATCTCCAGGTCAAGAGGAGTTAATAGTGTTTTGGATCTAGATTATAATCAAGTTTGATGTCATGCATAGAGATTAGGTCATGAATCCCTATTTTGACCTGGTTCGGGTTCAAGACATGCATTGGACATGTATGTTTATAAAGAAACAATTGTAGGGATGGTTTTGGTGTTTGAATCACTTCTAGAAAGGATGGACTTCGGACTTGGAGAATTAAGTGCTTGTTGGCTAAGCTCTTACATTATTAAGCTTTATGGATTTAGTCTTGAACCTTTTTGGGTAGTCCTAATGGATAAAGTTGGAAATATTATCCTTTTGGACCACGTCATGAATCTCTATTTTGACCTAATTCGGGTTCAAGACATGCATTGGACATGTATGTTTATAAAAAACAATTTTAGGGATGGTTTTGGTGTTTGAATCACTTCTAGAAAGGATTGACTTCAGACTTGGAGAATTAAGTGCTTGTTGGATAAGCTCTTACATTATTAAGCTTTATGGATTTAGTTTTGAACCTTTTTGGGTAGTCCCAATGGATAAAGTTGGAAACTTTATCCTTCTGGACCACATTATGGACTAGATCTGAGCTTTATAGCTCTTGGAATCGTAGAAAACAACTTGATATATTAAGTTGTTGAATCTCGGGCGAACACGGTGTGTTAGCAAGCTAACACGGCTTGTGGCCAGGATTTTTCCCGACTGATTAGATGCTGGTGGAACACTACGTAGACAAGGGGCAACATGGCGTGTTTGGTCAACATGGACTGTTGAATTTGTCTTTTACCAGAGGATTGATCAGGGTTGACCATGGGATATGTTAGGCCATGTTTAGGCCTTTTGGATTGTAGGATTGGGCCTTAATTTTGGGCTCAGCTAGATAAGGGGTGAAATTGTTTCTTTTTTTATCGTAAATATGGATTAAAAGATATAGATTCCTCTCCAACTGTTAATTGGGTGTTATTTGGTATTGATAGTTTGGGTGATTGTCGGACCAGCTGTCAGGGATTATCAGTGTGATTCAGCAGTGCGAGGTGAGTCTCTTTACTATACTATTGGGTCGATACCAATGTCGGCCTATTAATTTATGTATTATAGGAAGACCAGGGGTGTCCCTTGCCACATGTATGAAAGACCAGGAGGTGGGTCATGGAAAATTTATATGCAAGACCAGAGTTTGGACTCTGGCAGTTAAGTAGATAAATAGTTGCAGATTATATGCTAGTTGTCTTTGTGATGCTTTCATGGAAGACCAGGAGGTGGCTCCTGGCTCTTGTTTGTAAGACCCAAGGTTTTGGCCCCCGGCTTAGCAAGGAAAGATCATTATATAGCTCGTGGCATAATGGCAAGACTATGGTTGGCACATAGCACCTCCTATTACATGTTTGATATGTATGACTTGGTATGTGGTATTTGTGGAACTCACTAAGCTTTGTTCTTACATTTGTTGTTTATGGTTTCCGGTACTCCCAGCTAGAAAGGGAAGGGCCAGGATTGATCGCAGCGCATACACCCATATTTTCTGCAGCCTTGAGATTTTGAGATTGTACTCGGATAAATGTATTTATTATAAAATATCTTTAAGTGTTTTAGTGGATAGTAAATGGGTGTTTTGACTGTTTTAAAAATGAAAATTTTAACTTCATATTTTGGTTATTTCAAGTTGGTATTAGATCGTTGGTTTGAGGGATTGAGCATACTCTCGGACGTGCCTGAACTCAGATTGAGGGTTTGGTAGATTTTTCATAAAATAAATATTTTATTAAAAGAGTTTCTAATCAAAGAAAAGGGTGTGATGTGTGCAATCGATCGAGCTCAAGTAAGTGGTTCCTAGAATGCCAATACATGTTTATTATGATACGATATGATTATGAGAATTGCATTTTAGATTAGGTCTAAGAATCTGCTCATGATTTTATGATAAGAGGGATGCCTTTATGTGCCTAATTGTATGAACTTTAATGGATTTCAGATAAGTGGATAGAATGGCTTGATTAGTGTATATTGGTTGGATTTTTCGTTGCATGAATGTTGCTTGCTTTGTGCTTTGTGGGGCTCTTAGCGATGTGAATCAACTACTAGTCAATATACTAAGCCACATTTGGCACAGGTTAAATAATCTCAAAGTGATGAATCTGACCCTATTGCATAGCTCTTGTTTGATTCCAACCGTTCTAGGGTCTAGTCTTTTACTTGAAGGATTATCTAATCTCTATTACATGTGACTGTATTCATGAAGCAGTAATTTGACATTGGTGGGAGCCTTTCAACAACTGAGGACAGGGTGAGGTCGAGAACCTAAGGGAGCCTATGATGTGCTTCATTGGGTTTAGTTGCGTTGCTTAGTGAGTTTTTGGTGCATCAGTTTGAGAATGTGACTTAGAGGATTCACGATGATTCTTAAGGAATGTATGGATATATGTGGAAGATAGTGTTGGGCCCATACTATTGAAAGCACAAGATCCATACTCGAATCGGGGAGAGTCTTGGAGAATCTAGGAAACTTGTGGGAGAAGGATCCTTGGGTATTAACTGATCATTTGCATGTTGTATTTCAGTTTGGTGATGAGCACTTAGGGAGGAGGTTCTAGTTCTGGTTCAGGTGCAGGTACTAAGCCTATTAGTAAGCAGATGCGGGAGTTCATCTCATCGAAGATTACCAGTGGTATTTTAGATCAGACTCTTGTGGTCTTTGGTTCGGTCAAGGAGAGGATTCTTGAGATTTTGGATGAGCGCGTACTATGCTGAGGTTATAGATATCGTTGGAGCTCGCACTCTTTCTTTCCATGAGTTTCGTGCTTGTGGAGCTCCCCTGTTCTCTGGGGAGAATGACCCCATTGCTAGTAGGAGATGGTTAGTGGATATGGATAATGCGTTCAAGATAAGTTTCTGCCTCGAGGAGGCGAAGGTCATATTTGCTTCCTGCCTTTTGAAGGACGGGGTACAAGATTGGTTGGAAGAGGTAGGACGTGAGGTGGGTGATGATGTTGTTGACACGATGACGTGGGATGATTTTTTTGACCAGGTTCCGAGCTAAGTTTGTACTGGTGATTGAGGTACGGCAGTTGGCGCGAGAGTTTTAGGATCTCCGCCAGACTATTGATACTGTGGCAGAGATCACTGCCAAGTTCTGAGAGAGAGACTTATTTCTTTCGTAGTATGCAGCGGATGAGGAGATTAAGAAGGTAAGGTATCATGATATGTTAAGGGATGACATCAGGGAGTCTGTGAGTATTTCAGGGTGCAGGACCATGAATGATATAATTGGATCCTGAGAGCGGGAGATCGATTTGGAGCACCTAGGGAAGAGGGGTCCAAATCAGGTGCAGGTAATGGAGGGTCTCGAGAAGAGACCCAAGACTTCTAATCAGCAATTGAGGTGCCAATAAGGTCGGGGTCAGTACAACACGTGCGGGAAACTGCACGATGGGGTTTGTTGTTCTAAGGGTTTGGGCTTCTACATGTGTGGCAGGTTTGGTTATGTTAGCAAGGATTGTCCTATGGGGGCAATCCCGTTATGTTTTCACTGCAA